GTCAAGAGTTTGGTTGTTAGCATTAAGAGTGCAAATAATTACATTTAAAATAAGTTTAGGGAGGTAATAAGATTCCCGCAAAAAAAAAAGTATATAGTTGAGAATTTGGGTATAGGTCAGGAGGTACTTATGCATTTTCCCAAATATTATCCAAAGTTGTAATGAGATATATTCTATTCCAGTAGCAAGCAAGCTTAATCATTATTACCAACATATTCTGTATTTACACAAAAAATGTCCCAATATACCAACTAGACATAAAGCTCGATGATAATACTTTGCGTATTAGTTAATGCACACTGCACCTAGTAGTATATTAAGTAAATAATTTTTAAATTATCGGCTCATACATACGAAAAACATTAAAGACTATTATAATCTAACACATAGTGTTTCGTGCAAATAAAATGCGATAGGAACCAGATAACACATGCATCTGACTTGTAATTTTGAACAGAACTAAAAATAATTAACAATATCCAGCAACTCATCTCATTATTCATGCAAAAGAGAACCCGTTCATATCTAGATTAGAAAGACATTGACCTACTCTTTTAAGAAGGAGATAATACCCGTTTAAAATAGATATCTCCACAAGGTAGAGGCTCGTGCTGATAACGTGTTAAGAAACTAAGTTCAAAGTAATAATATGAAACAATAAAATAGACAAAAGATGTAAAGAGGAAGAGGGAACTTTCTTATTTCTTCTATGTATTCCAAGTGTGTATAATGTGGTGCCAAAACCCTCTATTTATAGGATTACATAGAGGTATACAAAAGAATGCCATAAACATGGCATTAAACATTTGAGATCATGGAGAAAGATCATAGGGGAGGTTATGAAAGCATGAGAGTTACAACCATAAGTATTGGAGTAGTGGGAGTTATGGAGATAATGGAGAAGAGTATTGAGAGTAACTTCTTTAGGAGTTATAAACATCCACTAATATAATTATAATATTTCACAACACTTCTCTGCTTTTTGGCCAAAAAGTCATTTTTTGCTTTAAATTTGATAATACGTGCCTCCACTTTAATTTTTTGTCACAACAGCTTTTAGGGTAGTATTAAATTCACTTTGGACAAAGTGTAAGGAGGTACTAGAACACCCCTAAAAGTTAAATATGAAACTGACTTTTCCATACAGCTACAAGGTGCATCTTATCTTATGTATTTTGCCTATATTTAATAAGATGACTAATACATGCACATAGTTTGCAAAACATGGTGTGATGCACACTCGCAGCTTCACAAGTATACATCCACGTTTCAAATAATTCTTGTTATAGTAATTAATAAAACCATTTGTTACGAAACTTGGAGTGTATATATAAACAATTACCCTAACTGTCAGCCTGACCTCAAACGCAACAGAAACAAAGAAACAGAACCATCCAAACCAATTCTAACTATTATGGATAATAGTTGAACTTCTCCAGCCATGCATGTAGCAGTATTCTGGAACCTCTTTGATGAACATCCTGAATTGCTCTCCTGATTGTAGCTTCATTGCTATGTTGCCTTACCTGAAAAACTCATTGATTCCTCTCCATCCACAAGTAGTAGCTTAGTAGCTAGATTGCAACTGCTAATACCGTCCTATATTGGGGGCTTCTCCCATTGCCATGCTTTTGTCGCTCGTTGCAACTCATTCTTCAATTTCATTGGACTACTCATTATATATGCCTAGCTATAATAGCAGTTTTTTCTAAACTTCTGCAGTTACTTCGTAGGTCAAAAATAAGTGTGACAAGCTCTCATCTTCAACATAGAGGGCATTCTTGAGTAGTCACCCCCAATTGACTAGTCTATCCTTAGTGTTTAGCCTTCCATGTGCAGCTAGTCTTAGGATAAAGATCCATCTAGGCAGACCAAGATTACTAGTTGAGAAAGCATGTATTTAACAATCAATATGAAATCTAAATAATGAAATGATCTCGTTTAATTTTTTTTTCTAAAAAAACGATAAAACATCATGTCAAAATCGAGGATGTAGGAGTTTACTAGATTGCGACTTGTGAATATGGAAGATTAAAGATTGAAACATTTCAACAAACTTGATAAGAAAGTGATCGTACATGTTAAGACCAAACATTATTTAAAAGTAAAAGAAATGAATGTAGTATAATAGATCCATTAAATATTAGATTTCATGAAAGGATCAAAAATATTTCTAGATATAATTTTAAAGGAAAATCCAATATGAAGTTTTTAATATATAAAAAATAAATATATCTATATGTTAGTTTAGGTCGGATTTTTCTTACTGAACCAAACTTAATATATTCAGTTTTTCTAATCGATTTGGTTCAACTTTTCAGTTTTATTTGCACAACCCTAGTCATAAGCAAGGATGTACATACGTCGGTTTGGTTCAAATTTTTCATTTATCAAACCAAACCAATTGTGTCAAATTTTTAAATATATAAATCAAACCAAACTAACAAAAGTTGGATTTTCAATTTCGATTTTTCTCAATTTTTTGCGTTTTCGCGGTTTTTCGGATTTCTTCCCAATAAAATCTTCATAGCACAAATATATAACTTGTGCTCGAAATATTTCTTTGGTCCTAGTAGAATACAACTATATAAGGTATTACCCAAAAAAATAATACAAAATAATGTGAGATGAGTCATGACATTATACTAAAATATTCAACAAGAAAGATACTGATATCCCATAAAATAAATATTACTAATTAATAAGTCATAATGCAAATGAACATAATCTAAAAGTACTAAGTCATGCTATAATAAGTACAAGTAATAAGTACTAAATATTACTTACATGACTAAACAATAAAAAAAAATAAGTTATGCATTTTCACTAAATAAACTAATGCAAAACTAAAAAAAATAGATATCCAATACTCTATTAATTAGTCATTCCTAGCATTGAGTTGAAATTCTTTTATTAGCATTAATATTAATTTGATTTTGCTTTGAACTTTATTTGAGTTACTAACACTTATGGACTATATAACATACTAGACCATTCAAAATTTCTAAGTTCAATCTTAAAGTAATACGTTAAAAGAGTGAACTATGAAAAAGTTTAAGAAATATTCATAAACTACATTATGATAACTATTTTTATAACTTGTATACATAATGTTGGTTTGGTTTCGGTTTGAATTTTTTTTTTTGTTAAAACCAGATTAAATCAATTATAGTCGAGTTTTTTTTCTCCAACACCAAACCAAATCAAATCAAACCAAACCATAATCGGATTTTTTTCATGATTTAACTCGAATTATCGGTTTGATACGGTCTGTTGGTTTCTTTTGTAGAACCCTAGTCATAAGTACAACTCTGAATACTCTATCCACTCTCATTTATACCAGATAAATGAAGTTCAAGTGGCAAAATAACCTCTTTGTAGCCAAACTATTTTTATTTTTATTTTTAAGAGATTTAGGAATCTAGACATGCATCCACAGATATTTGGCCGTAAATTAGCATTAGTAGGTTATAAATACATTAAATCTTCATAAATATACTTACTTGGTAGTTGGGTTGGGTAGTAGATCCAAATGGAGCTCTCAAATCGTGCCTTAGCTATCTCTTTCGTTTTTTGGACTCAAAATCGGGAGAAACTCAAAAATAGTTTACAACTAGTCGTTCAAAAATAGCTGCTCAGTTTCAAAAGTAATCGAAATGTAGCCACTTTTCATGTAAAGATAAATTTGAGCGAAAACACTGTTCAAAACCGGAAAAATACGCCAGTATATTATACTGGAGTTCCAGCATAAGTATGTTTGAACTCCAGCATATTATACTGGAGTTCCAGGATAAGTATGCTGGAACTCCAGCATAATATGATGGAGTTCCAGCATAAGTACACTAGAACTCCAGTATAATATACTGGAGTTCCAACAAGTATAATTGTCCAGTATAATATACTGGAGTTTGGAGCACCGGTGCTCCAGTCTCCAGTATATTATACTGGAGTCAACAAAGTATATTAGTCCAGCATAATATGCTGGAGTTCATACACAGGTGCACCGAACTCCAGTATATTATGCTGGACCGGTCTTTGTTGCAGCAAAATAGTGGCTATTTTTCATTGACTTCGTAAACGCTGACTATTTTTGAATGACCAATCCGAAAACTGGCTATACCGTGCTATTTTTACCTCAAAATCTCGATATTATACTATCTGTAGGCCTGAGGCCGCGGACCACTCTCGCCTTAGCGTGAATACTAAGGAAGAAAATTTCGTCTTCACACGATAGCGCTATGACGCGACCTGGCGGTCTGGCCAAAACATGCCTTTAGACTAGGTTCACACTATAACCTTGCGCTTTGGTCCAATTGTCCTGCCTGTCTCTTGGAAACCTTGGCCAAAATCATGCCACATGCGTTACCCTCACAATGCGAATAGGGTCCGGCCTATCTAGCCCCTCTTATACTACAATACTATACCACTTCCAGCTCAACCCCAAACCATATCCAACACTCATATCCACTATTTCAACATTGTATATTATACACTCATCCACATATAATCTCATTTATTTAATACATAACTAGGCAAAAGTCAGGTTTAAACATAGCAGAAATTTTGCTAGGAGCTATCATTGTGAGGTAAGATTTTGTTTACTAAGATTAGGGCGTTGAGAAATTCAAAAATCAAAACGACCAGATCATTTTAAGACGACAATCAGTGCCGGCGAACTACTTTCTCAAGTTTAAGGTTCAACCTAAATACAAAGCGCTTCTACAACTGATGTTGAGTCTCAACCTCATCATTCATATGGACACTCCTGGTTAACAACACGAAAGTATTTCGCGTACCAGCAGTTGCTAAAGATTATCCTTTTTTTTATAGACAATAATTTGTAGCAACAAACCCCGACTTATCGGACAAAACTAACCAGTGTTAATGCAAATGAATTTTTTTATGGAAATCAAGTTCGACTCTATTGATACAAAATGCAATTTCACGACATACATAAATACTAATTAGCAACAAAAAGTATGTTGCTCAAATTCACGTTTGTGACGAATATGGTGTATTCCAATAAATTAGAATACACTATTGCTACGAATCTTCTGTCTGTTTGCAAATATTAAAATTAACATATGCCATGATTTTCCTGCAACATGTTGTAACAAAATAATCCGACCGCTGCAATAAATTAAAAGTGTCTCTAGCAGACTAGCACCGACAGTTTTTGTTGCTGTAAAACTGTTCTTCTAAATATATTCTCGGACTAAATATTTTTTTTTGCTCATACAGCTAGTATTGACTATTCAGTAAAAGTGTTTATGACATACTAGCAGTATCTACATCAGCAATGGCTTTAAAGTCCGTCTGGGTTTTGATCACCTTCATAAGGGCTTGAAGCAAGCACCAGCTCCAAAAACTGTTCATTTTTACATTGCTGGAAAAATGTAACGACAAAGTACCTGTTAGTGTACTTTCAACATCCAATAATTCAACGTTCAAACGAATTTAACTAAAACCGAAAAATTCACACCTCAGTAGGATATGAGAAGACATTATGGAGCTGAGACATGCCATCCTCCGCAGGTTCACTATGACCTATGTGCTCTTGTTGCTACAACCATTTCAAGAAAAAGAATATAAGAGAGAGTAACGAGTATATGTTCCCTAAATAACCTTAACTTTTACTCTTGCATTATTTTTCAAGACAATCAACTTTTTATCCAATTCTCTAAAGAATACATGCAACCAAATAAAGCTGAAATTTAATCTTCTCCAATTCCCAAAGGCTTCTGCAACCCACTTATCAAAACCTTCAATTATATCTCCATCCATTAATTCGAGGAAGCAAACACAGATAGAGATGGTTAAACTCTCTACCTAGACGGACTAAAGTCGATGTTAAAAAAATTATTAGGATGTTAAATACATTAAGTTGGATGGTACAAAGGATGGGATTAGAAATAATTTAAGGACATTTTGATAGATGGAAAATGCATAACAATCTTAAATTATTTTTTTATTATAATTTGGTTCGGCACAATTTATCGCTCTCTTTAAAAGAACAAATTGATTTCACACTTTAGTGAGTTTCAATGAACAACAAAATATGATATTACTTGGTAATGTATGTGCAAGAGAGAACTTTGGATGAACAACCAATACATTCCAGTGCTCATTTGCATTTATAGGTGATGAAAAAGAAACTTGCCTTGAATGGTATTTGGCCAAACCATTGCAAATAGTCCTCCCCTGATTGCTACCATCATTGAAGTTGAAAATCATCACATCTTCATTAATTTGCTACATACATTCAAGGCAAGTTTCTTTTTCATTTATTGGCAAGTTTCATCTATTTTGATCATTTATAGGTAATTAAACTTCTTTTCTTTTCTTTCTTTGCTCTAAATTTTCTGTCACCTTTATTCATTCCTCGAGAGTCAAGTATATTAAACTCTGAAAGGCTCAACTTGTATTAACTTTATAACATAATATCTACATATCCAAAATATTATCTTTTAATCGTTCCATAATTATTTTCAGATCGAGAAAAGATCAAGTCCAACCCTGAAAAACATGAATTATTAGAGAATATGGAAGAGTATAATGTTTAATTTGTTTCGATTGCATATTGGCGAGGAATAAAGAAAAAAGCTCAAGAAATTTATACCTGATGAGGTTGAACGTTCCCTTGATTCACGAAAGGAACACTAAGATCACCAATGCCTCGTGATTGCTGTGTAGCATTAATGTTGTGAAACTCAGAAAAGTTACATACTGGATTGAGCGTAGCATCGACTTCTTGCCCCCTGCAAACATCGTTAACAAATGATGGTAGTTGCATAGAAGTGTCTTCATCAATATGATCAGACAATATGGCAGAGCATTGCTTTTCTCCATCAAATCCAACCGAAGAAGATGCCTCTTGAGCCAAACATTGTTCAGAGTCATGTTGGCTTTTACCAATGAAGTTCATGAGACCAGCAAAAAGAGTAGATGCCTCATCAGCATCGTTATTTTGGGTGAAATTGGTACCACACTGGTCATCAGCAAAGCCATCATGAAGAAAGTTCAAATTCCCGTTAAGGGTAGCGTGCTTTGTGATACCATTGGTCCCTAATGCTAGTAAGTTCCTATCAGATAACCTATTGGCAGGAACTCTAGAAAGCATTCTACGAACTTGAGTTGAAGTAGTACCATTCATGAGCTGAGATGAAATATCTTCATAAGCCGATGTTCCCGTTTGATAGTTGTTTGCTTTCATTGTGCTAGTCAACTGATTCGCCTTATACAGTGGAATCTCATTGCTATGTGTTATATTACCCAAAATACCTTCATTGAGAAACAACTGTGCTTGTTCATATCCTAACGGTATAGCTTGTCTTGTTTGCTGGGTTCTGAAAGACGAACTGCCGTTGTTTGCAGTGTGAATCAATGACCGGGGGTTAGTGGTGTTTTCAGAGAACTGTTTCTGCAGTCCAATTTTTTCCTGACTGAGCATTCCTGATGCAAAAGTTGATTGAACAGCCTTAATGGCTAAGTTTGTGTCAGCAGCTTGTATTCTACAGCATGCATCAGAGACTCGTTCCAAGAAAATACGATATTTCTGCAAAATTAGCATAACTTGCTTGGAATGAATAGAAGAATTGATAATTAGGATGGAACAAATTAAAAAGGCTACCTAAGTTTTAGGAATGTTAATTTAAAGTCACCAATTCTGTCATCAGCAAACCAAGTTCCTAAAGTAAGCTAATTATTAAAATTACTTTTTTCCCATAGTATGCTAACTTAGTAGATAGATTAAATCCACTGCAACATGATATGTTAAGTACACTGATATATCGTATAAAAGACTTTAGATAAAAGGTTATTTAAAGTCAACTAGAGGTACTATATATAAAAAAAGGTGACCAAGTGACCAGTAAAAGAAAATATGTAACGCGCTACAACCCCATGCAAAAAGTAGACCAATAGCAACAGAAAGTAACCATTAATGTAAGATCGCATCATTAGTATATATAGCTTTTTTTGCTAAGGTCATTAGTATATAAAACTTGAATTCATATCTTTAGATTCGATTTACATTATTGATTCTGTAGAAATCTTTTACATGCTTAGCATAATTTCTAATGATTTTAATTTTATATCCTTATTTAATTTCTAATGATTTTGATTTTAACTTACCTGGAGTGTAAGTTCAATGGGGCGACTTAGGAAGTGGAAGGGGAGGCGAGGCTGGATTCACAAGTCATCCCTAGGAGAGGAAATTTTAAGTACCTTGGCTCTGTTATAGAGGGGATGGGGAGATCGACGAGATGTCACACATCATATTGAGCAGGATGGATGAAATAGAAACTTGCTTCCGGTGTCTTGTGTGATAAGAAGGTGCCAGCAAAACTTAAAGGTAAGTTCTACAGAGCGGTAATCAGGCTGACTATGTTGTGTGGGGCTGAGTGTTGGCCAGTCAAGAGCTCACATGTCTGGAAGATGAAGGTAGCAGAGATGAGGATGTTGAGATGGATGTGCGGGCACACAATGTTAGATAGGATTAGGAATGAAGTTATTCGAGACAAGATGGGTGTGGCCCCAATTGAGGACAAGATGCGGGAAGCGAGGCTAAGATGGTTTGGACATGTGAGCACAGACGCTTCGGTCAGGAGATGTGAGAGGTTGACATTAGAAGGCCTAAGGAGAGGTATAGGTAGGCCAAAGAAGAATTGGGGTGAGGTAATTAGGCAAGACATGGCGCAACTTGAGCTGACCAAGGACATGACCCTTGATAGAAAGGTGTGGAGGTCGAAGATTAGGGTAGTAGGGTAGTTAGTTTAGTGTTCTCCCTGTCATACCGGTAGTATTAGCACGTACTTTTGTATTCTGTTGGCATTAGATTTCTATGACTACTTGTCATTTCTTTCATTGCGGTCACCTGCTTATTTGGTTGTTATTTGAGTTGCTTTTACATGGCTTCTCACTGTTGCGCTTCTTGTTTTTCTCTTCTTCAATGTGGTGCTTATGCTTCTCTGAGCCGAGGGTCTATTGGAAACAACCTCTTTATCTCCACAAGGTAGGGGTAAGGCTGCGTAAACACTACCCTCTCCAGATCCCACTATGTGGGATTATACTGGGTTTTTTGTTGTTGTTGTTATACTTATTGAACTCATATAAAAGGAACTTTCTGAAGTTTCTTCCATACCGGTGATTTCTTAGAAATCTGTGTTCTCCTATTTTATGAAATTATGCACTAGTTCAGACCAAGTAATATAGAAGTCAGACATTACTTCACCTATATGGACTAGTTCAAATCAAGTAATACAGAAATCAAACATAACTTCACTTATTTAATATGTGAAAGCCATGATACCAATTATAGTTAAACATATGTATTCAGAAGTAAACCTGCAAATGGCTGGCAACATTTTCTCTAGTTAATCCAGGGACTTTCATTTGATCAAGAATCTTTTTTGGCACAGCTTCTGCATGAAAAATTCAGGTAGCAAAATAATAACAATTTAATGTTCTTTTAAGTTTGACACCTCCGAAGAACTCTTTTTAATAATGTGAATATGCAACTTACTGTCAAATCCAATGTCTCTGATGGCTTCCAAGAACTTGTTGTGTAGTGAACTTGTCCACACAACCTTAGCCTTTTTAAATAGTGCAGCAGAATTACCACTGTTATCTTTATCAGCATTCCTCTGTGTTCTTGCAGGTTTCCTCTTAGATTTTTCCTTCTTGATATGTTGATAGTAATTTTCATTGATAGATGATGCAGATTCTCCGACTTCATGAAGGCTTTTCTTATTGCAATTGGAACTTTTCTCCAAACAATCGATTTCCTCAAGAACAACTCTTTTACCTTTCTTCTTCTGCAACAGTGTGTACTGCCATAGATCTCTTAGATCATCTACTGATATAGGCTTAAGGAAAAATGCAGCCCCACCGTCTAGTCCTTTCAGGATCGTACCTTCTTTGTCATCAGCTGACATCACTGACATTCAATATGTAAGCTTAGATCATAAGCCTTTTTTTTTTGACGATCAGGGAACACAATACTAAACATTTCATGCAAAATAAAATTGGAAAAAGAAGAACCAGACTTACAAACAACAGGTAGCTCAAATTCGTCGGTTATCACTTGTTGAAGTTCAAAGCCATTCATATCAGGCATGTGCACATCGACGACAACGAGATCAAAAGAGCCGCCTTTGATCCGAAGTATAGACAAAGCATCCATTGGATGTTTGACAGTCATAACTGGAGTAAAACCAAAATAGTTTATTGATTAGATGCATTATGAAGGAGAAATGACAACTGCTCCATATAGAAACATTTTAAAATCCAAATAACAATATCCTACGCTAAGTCGCCTATAAGTTCTGACATCAAGATTAATAGCCAGAGCAAAGGAACTACATTTTCCATACATATGCTGATGTTAGATCTATTAATGTGGTTATCGTAAATAAAGACAATTCCATAAATACAGATGTGCTTAAATATCGTTATCAGATTCATTAGATTCCTTTTTTCTTTTTCTTGTGAATCTAATTAAAATTTCTTACTATAACTGGAAAGAAAAAAAGAGATTGTGGAGAAGGGTGAGAAGGCCTGTGTTGATGATCTGATCATTTGGCCCTTTGACTATACAAGAATATGTGGAGCTTGAAAAATACAAAAGAATGTTAGTTTGCTGATACTGTCATTAGCATTGGATGCTTGGTAAAGAACATCTCAACCAATCTATTGAGAGACTCCTCTTTGTGTTTGCCTTATAATAGAAAAGACTGAAAGCCTCGAGGCGCAAGGAAAGGCGTTTTACGTATTAGGGCGAGGCATAAGCCTCGAGGCCCTAGGCGTAAGCCCCATGGATCTTTAATTTTTAATATTTTATAAATTAATACAATAGAAATAAATATTACAATAAGGTAAAATTACATAGAAATTTCAAGAAAATATAAAATAAATGAAATGTATATAGAACTACTTCATCTTAAAATGCTAATTTGAATCAGCAATTGACTAAAAAACTAATCAAAACTGCTTCATCAAAAAACTAATCAAACTTTGGCAAAGAAGTTGAGTAGAAATTTATAAACTAACTTGTAAGAGTAAAATAACTTGAAAAGAAAGAAAAGCAAAGAAGGAACCTACAATTAGAAGTGTTGAACCACAAATCATGGAGGATGATGCATTTTCGTTTTTAAGTTTGCAACTTGATCATTTTTTTCCTTTACCCGGTAGAGGACAAAGAGAAAGATAAAAATTAGGGCTAACAATAAAAAAACTTTTGACTTTAAAGTTTTTAAACTTTTTAGAATGCAATAACAAGTTGATTTTTGTGTTTATTGGTATTAAATTAAGGAATTGTAATTTTAATTCTAATTTAAAAGATTTTTTGGGCTTATGCCCCAAAATAAAAACTCACCCAACGCCTAAAGCATACGCCCAGAACAATGAGGCTTATGCATCACAATACTTTCGCACT